CACCGAGCTAACTCCCATGTGTGTCAGGATATCTGTCAGTACTGCCTCTGTGGTACATGTTTATTTCTGGATGAGAGAATGAATAAAATAATGATGAATCAAGAACTGACATCACTGCACCCGGAACATTCTCACACGTGCTCCGTTTCCCTTTTCATTAACCAACGAAGAGTTGACATGCAAATAGTAGCGAAATAAAACTGTAGCCATGCATTAGCCAGCCACTGGGCAAAGATACATCGAGCCCAATATCAGAGTGAATGGCCACAGATTAAATGTTGTCAGGAAATGCACCCTTTCACTGATCTCTAGGGCTAGCGTTGCCTTTGGCAGATTGTACAATAATGTTTGGAACAGAAGTGGCCCAACCCTGCATACAAAGCTGAAAGTATACAGAGCAGTTATATTAACTACACTGCTGTACGCATGTAAAACATGGACCGTATAACAGCGCCAGGCCAGAAACACTTTCACACAGTCTGCCTTAGAAAACTAATGCACTCAGTACTGGTGCGTTCTAGTGCATATCCACACGCGACATCACTTTCCAAGAACTTTTCGGGCCTCATCAGTCATCTTCGTACCCATACTTGATGAAAAAGAGTGGTCGTCATCATCTTGATGGACAACACACACACACACACACACACCGGTTGCAACCTGAATAAAAGTCAACCTATGTTTCCCCCTCAATGGTGAATATCCTCCAGAACCTCTAGTCACCCAACCCTGAATTAGTCCTTCAGTGTGTGAAAAATGCACTAGTAAATTGGGTAAAGTAAAAAATCTTGAGATCAAGGATTTTGTCTGTGGCAACTTACGGTTGTGAATCCTGGACTCTCACTCAGTCATTGTGGAAAAAGATTGGAGCTTTTAAAATGAAATGTTATAGAAACATTCTTAGAATACGGTGAACCAAGAAGAGGAAAAACATCGACATTCTGAACGAGTTGAACATCAGGGACAACTGTCTCATACACAGCATCTTGTCCCGAAAGTTGAAGTGTGTTGGCCACATTAAGCGTCATGGTGGCTTAGAAAAGACGGTGATGGAAGGTTCAGTTTTTGGAAGGCGAGGCAGGGGTCGAACACTACGAAGTTGGATACAATACATTGAAGATCCATCGGCACTGAAAGCAGGGCCGGAGAGCTGGCTAGGGAAAGCGATACTTTCAGGCATGCCGTGAAGAGAGCGATGTTCTGTAAAGGAATTGTTGATTGATGAGGAGTGTATAGAATCTTTATGGTCTTTTGGCACTTCATTTGAACCCAGCGAGCCTTCACCGCATCCGCTTTATAATATAGTAGCTCACCCACAGAGGATCGGTAACAGTCAGTATGTCATCCTGCTGTTACCTGAATATCCTGGTGTCACATATCGCTCCTGTCGCGTGCCTGATTTAAGGATTTCTCCTTAGAACCAACAGCACTCTGAAATAATTATGTTGAGTCGTTGGCTCGTATTGGTCTAAGGGATGCCCCGTGGCCAATATACGCTCAACTTATTTCAGGAGTAGGGCAACTCAAGTTTTGGCACTACAAAATATATAATATTCCTAGGCACACTTGGCTGGATACCCCCACTACTATAAAAAGGTAGCCCCCAGGTTATGATAATATACTATCATAGCCATGTTAACACAGATAACACTTATTACTCACACAAACATCAAAGCTAGACAGTTAGAATGGTGAAACAGGGATACCCAAGTCAGCCATGAAAATTGTTACATGTAATAAGTTCAATTTAAATACACAAATAAATGAATAAATAATCAGAAGTGATCAGTTAAGTGAGAAATCCAAAGATACCTCAGGAATCAGTCCATTCTGTAAGCTCTCTAAATGTGCTGTGACTGTCATGATACTTCCCCATTCGAATGCTGACGTAGGAAGAGTTTTTCAGTGCTATGAATTATATCAAATCTAAACTAAAAATAGGATTAAATTTGACCTCTTAAAAACTATCTTGACAATAAAGTTTGGAGTGATAAGAGTAGGAAAATGCATTTCAACTTATCAGCTCCCTGATTGTATATTAAAAGAAATTGGAACAGCTAAAGCAAATCAGAGTCATCTTGGATCTGAAGCTTTAACTTCATCATCAAAGCTGAGTTTATCCCGTGGATCTAGTGAGACAGACATCAGTGAAGATGAGGGCATAATTATATATGGTAAGTCATATCAGTAGCTATGTAATTTCTGACAGTTTCATTTGGATGTTTTTTTTTTTTTCTAGATGTTTACCATACAAATCTAAATATTTCTAAATGTTTTTGACCCGGTTCTAAATGTTTTCTTTCAAAGAAAAGTGGCAACACTGGACTCCACAAGAGCCAGGGTTGCCATATTGGCATTTTTTATGCCACATTCCTCAAATTTGGCATATTTTTAATTAAACTGGCATAAGATAATGAACTGGTATATTTTGGCATATTTGGGTTTTTCCAGGCTTTTCTAATCAAGATGTGCTCTCATTTGCTTCATGGTTCCTCCTTTAGAAGCACGCAGATTTGCTTAAAGCAAGTTAGATCTACAGTTAACATCTTTATTCCAGTTTGACTTTGTTGTGATATCTTGGTACGGACTAACGGAGATTCGCGTCATTTCTTATCGTGTTTATTGTCTTTCTAAACGGATCGTGACTTCAATAAACCAAGGCCCTCTGTAATTTATGTTAACCTACTAGAATAAATGCGGGATATAAAACCAAAACCCACCACTGATACCAAGTGATTCAGACTGCTCAGAAACTACTCGAGGACAGAAAATAGAGAGGATATAGACCTAGTTCTATCAATGATAGATATTATTACTTTTACCAATGGCCACGTCATCCCAAAAAATGGAAAGCATCTTATGAGATCGCAAATATAAGAAAACATACCCATGGTTCAAAAGTTCTTCAGACGGATTAGAGGCAGCATATTGCAAACTGTGTCAGTGCACTGTTGCACCAAGAATTAGTAGCATATCAAATCCTGGAAAATCCGAAAAACACAGGATGAAAACTCCGTCAAAAAGCCAGTCACAGGCTTATTACAACAATGACTCCTATCCTAGGCAAAGTAATGATAAAGTTAAAGACAGCAAAGTTACAACTTGCTGTAGGCATGACCTGCCATTGTTCAATACGCACAATTGATCATCTAAGTAAAATCATGAGAGCGCATGGTCAGGGAGTACACTGGAGCACATACAGTTGCATATAACTAAATGTTCATGCCTAATAAAAAATATTATATCGTCTGCACTTAATGCAGATGTCTTGAAAAAAAACAACTGATTTATGATGATGAAATGATTGCCCACATCAGAAGGAGACATTCTACACTCTTCGGTCATGTCATAAGAAGAAAACTAGAGAGCATCGTGACACTGGGTAAGTTAGTGGAGAGGTAGAGGGAGATTAAAGGAGAAGATTTTGGACAGTTAAAAATTATTGCATGGCATATCATCTGTGCCATCATTGACTGCAAGTACACGAGACAGGGGGTTGTGGGTAGACGTGACTTCCTATGCTACACAGAATTCCAGAGAAATTTGACTAAAAAGCTTAACGAAATGGGGAAGCAGAAAAACGTGCACAAAACAACAAATAATGTAATGTGTCTGCTGGGCAGCCTTTGTCAAACTACACAAAAATGCTACATAGCACGGACTATAGGAAGAAGTATTTATCAACTAGCGTTTCTAGTGCATCCGCTAACTTTTTTGTATATTTAGAACATTGCGGTTTGATTCGGATGGAAGCATTAAGCCAGAAATGGCACAAACACAAATATAGGCGGAGACTGTTAGCAGCCTAGGCTAGCTAGCAGCAGTTTGAACGTGGTCGAGCTTTTCTTTTTTTTCTCTCAAAAGGACTTGGACTTGGACTTGTAGCAGCTTCCCAAGCTACTACAACCTCACCTCGATAGTTTGCAAACTGATATGTGACTGACTGACTCTCTACCCCACTTGGACATCACACAAGCGATAAACACCCGAAAGTGACACCATGTGGGTGAGGATCGTCGTGGAGAGGTCCTAGAAACCGCGTTCAGACAACTATTGGTACATGTAATTAACTTTTACATCCTTTTTAGGATGAACTTTGTTGTTATTTGAAGCCCCACCCTGGCTTTTGTGAGGGGCCGCAATATGGGCAGGCCATAAATATGGCCAATTGTCTGAACGCGGTTTCTGGGACCTCTCCAGGGTGTCCTCATCCACATGGTGGCACTTTGTGTCATCGGATGTTTATCGCTTGTGTGATGTCCAGGGGGGGGGGGGGGGGGGGGGTAGAAAGTCAGTCAGCCGTCAGTTCAGACAATTGGCCATATTTATGACCTGCCTATATTGCGGCCCCTGACAAAAGCCAGAGAGTGGGGCTTCAAATAAAAAAAAATTACGTCCTAAAAAGGACGTAAGGATTGATATATATGACTGACTGACTTTCTATCCCACCAGGACATCACGCAAGCGATAAACGCCCAATGATACAAAGTGTCACCATGTGGATGAGGATCGCCGTGGAGAGGTCCCAGAAACCGCGTTCAGACAATTGACCATATTTATGGCCTGTCTATATTGCGGGGCTTCAAATAAAAAAAAATCGTCCTAAAAAAGGACAAAACACCTATTGCTAGTTGGGCTATTAATATATATGACCTGGTTACGACTAAATCTTTTAAACAATGCATCATTATAGATAAGTTGCACAGATTTCATCCCATCTGAGAAAATGCTTGAAGATTTTACATCCGAAAAGGTTTACGCTGTGTCTTTCACTTGTTCCAGTGAGGATGGCAGTGAAGAATTCAATCTAGAGCTTTTGATGTGAAGCGAGTACAATGTTACACTTTAACTGGCATTTTCTGGCATATTTTGGGAAATGGTTTGGCATAAAATTAAATGTTTTTTTTTTATCTGGCAACCCTGACAAGAGCTGACAAAAGTTGTGGAAAGTGGAAGGAAGTGGAAACATTTGTTGTGCGGTTGGAAGCAATTCAGTGATAATGATAAAGAAACAGCAGAAGTTAAAACCACAAGTAAATGTCAACCGGGACTCCATTGAAGGCCAACAGGTGGTTTTTAAAAAAAAGTTTAAGTTTACAATTTACGGTTGGTTGTTTTTATCTTTACGAGTGTGGCTGTGCACTTTGCTATATTTTCGTATATCAAGACATCAAGAGAAATTATAAGCAATACATTAAAAATGAGAATTGTCAAATGTTATGAATTCTCAACCCTACTGTATGGCACAGAGACATGGACAATGAACAAACAACTGGAAAATCGTATCAATTCTTTGGAGATGTGGATATACAGAAGATTAGGTCGTATTTCATGGAAACAAAAGCTATCAATCAATTACAGAGGTACTAAGGAAATCGTGAATGAAAAGAGAGTTGCAAGGTGAAATAAAAAAGAGACAAGTGAAATATTTTGGTCACATTAAAAGACATAACAGTATTGTAAAGATCATCCTAGAGGGAAAGTTTCAAGGTAGGCGAGCAAGAGGCAGACAGCGTTACAAGTGGGAGGACAACATCAAGAGATGGACGAACAGCAGTATGATTGTACATCAAGGGCAAGAGACAGAGCTTGTTGGAGATCCATTGCAGCCAACCTTCATTGTGGAGACGGCACTTGATTGATTGATATTTTCGTATGATGAGTTTGTTTACACTTATTATTTTATTTACTGCCTGGTCCAGTCTGTGTTTTGATATCAAGTCGGCTGGTAGTGACTTCTACAATACTACAATACAAACCAAGTAGTGTTAATAAGTTTTCTAGTATATTTCCTGCACGTACAATCAGAAATAGAGTGCTAGTTAGTTATACACTTATACCACAATATACCAAAAGGGGAATGGTAAAGAAATAGAAGTGGCGTTGACAGCCTCTGCCAAGAGAAATTTGTCGACTGTGTTGAAGTGCGTTACCCATGACGAACTCTGAAGTTGTTATTTTTCATTATCATTGGTTTCCATTTATCTTGCTTATTGCTACACTGGACTTGTATTGTGATCTGTACTTCTGTACAACACGGGTCTCTTTACTTCCTGTTTACACACATTGAAAGGGAACTCTTCCTTGGTTGCAGTTTGTCCCTCTTCAGAATTGCAGTCTGCAAGATTAACACCTTAAGAATGGGAATCCTACATGTACAAATCCTGAAAATCCCTGTCCAACTGTAAGGTTATAACAGGGCTTCTGGTGATTATGAATTATTAGGAAAGAGGACTTCAGACTGTCCGGAGTATCGTGATGTAAATTCTTGGTTTGTTCATTCTTACAGCATTTATATCCTTGCACTCTGACAATAGTCTTCCATATCTTAGCAAATCAGCAACAGTCGAATGCCCATATTCATTCTATCTTCACTACTTTTTACATAAATATATAAAAGACAGGAATCATGAAAAACTGGATTTTTTCTTTCTCTGTATTTTTGAAGTAATTTTTTCAGGTTTTGACACCAGGAATTTTATTACAAACCTGGCTTGACTGGTCTGATAAATCAGTGAAAGAAATGTTGCAGTTAATAGGGTATTATCCTACACTGTACTGTTCACCAGAGTTAGCAGAATTTGTGGGGGTGGGGGGGGGGGGGCAAGAAGAATGATTATTTAGATAAAGAACTTATGGAGCACATTATGTAAACATTTATATTAACTGAAAGAATAGCTGCAATGTCTGAAAACTGTAATTACTGCCTAAATTGACCACTTTTTAGGACAGGGGAGGTGGGGACTTGAGCTTTAGGATTTAGAGTCCTGAAGCTAGTGCAGTCATCAGGAACTGTGAATATTAAGAGTTTTCCTTTTCATGTTAACCTACTTCTTCTTTGTCTACTGGCTATAAGTTCCAGCGGAAAGTCCTGGTTGTTCATTCGCTTGGACTTTGACTTTGTGCTAGGGCCTGAGTTGTGCGTGTGCATCTGTTTTACTGGCTTATTTGTGGGCAGTTGGTTGTTCCTTGCTGCTCAGGCAGATGCACTGCTTCTTTGAAGAAAGCCCTCAATTAGTCGACTCCTACGACATTCTTGTTGGGGAGGCAGTGGGTCTGTTCTTGTTTTCTCCACAATGGGGCCCTGAAACCCACATGTGCATTGTAACCTACAAAACTTGCTATAAGTCGTGACTGAGCAAGGTTGGTCTTAAAGTTAGCTATGATATCCCATAGAAAAATTTAGCCTAAAAATCTAACCAACCATAGACAAATAAAACAATAATATAATTAATTTTTTCTTATACCTGTGTTATATATCAAAAACAAAAACAGTGAGATGATTTTAAGAAAACCTTGAGTAATAATTAATGTGCAAACAGGCATTGGGTAAACACTCATTGTTTTGGCCGGTACGGAAATGCATTTTGTTTCTGATGCCATATTCAGGTTATTTAAAAGTGTGAATAATATAAAAGTAAAAAGTGTTTTGGTTTTAATAATGACTTACTTCAGACTTCCTCAGTAACAAGAGGATATCACTGCAGTTTGTGCCTTCATATGGGTTCCATTGCCTCATTCTGAGGAGAATAAATAAACAGACCCCTCTCCCTAAACCAACAAGCCTACTGAATATTTAATTATCGTTTCTGTTTTAATTGGTTTCAGATTGGCTCTAGCAATGAAAACCTGGCACCTGGCACTAAGGATGACAAGGAAAAACATGACAAAATTCTGCATCAGAGAGTTTACTTTCAGGTTTAGTAGCATTTTTGTGGTTTTATAATCCTAAATGATTTGTCCTTAGCCACACAGAACTGCAGGTGTAGACCAGGCTGATGTAGCCAATATGGATGCCATAATTGTAACTTCTTCAGAGGTTGAATGCGGAAATCTTGGTTTGCCCTGTTGTTCTACCATCCAGATTGAGATTCTTTAGTCTCTTGGTATCAAGCCTCCAGATCCTGTTGTTTTACCATCCAGATTGAGATTCTTTAGTCTCTTGGTATCAAGCCTCCGATCCTGTTGTTCTACCATCCAGATTGAGATTCTTCAGTCTTTTGGTATCAAGCCTCCAGATCCTGTTGTTTTACCATCCAGATTGAGATTCTTTAGTCTCTTGGTATCAACCCTCCGATCCTGTTGTTTTACCATCCAGATTGAGATTCTTTAGTCTCTTGGTATCAAGCCTCCGATCCTGTTGTTTTACCACCCAGATTGAGATTCTTTAGTCTCTTGGTACCAAGCCTCTAGATCCTGTTGTTTTACCATCCAGATTGAGATTCTTTAGTCTCTTGGTATCAAGCCTCCAGATCCTGTTGTTTTACCATCCAGATTGAGATTCTTTAGTCTCTTGGTATCAAGCCTCCGATCCTGTTGTTCTACCATCCAGATTGAGATTCTTCAGTCTTTTGGTATCAAGCCTCCAGATCCTGTTGTTTTACCATCCAGATTGAGATTCTTTAGTCTCTTGGTATCAAGCCTCCAGATCCTGTTGTTTTACCATCCAGATTGAGATTCTTTAGTCTCTTAGTATCAAGCCTCCGATCCTGTTGTTTTACCACCCAGATTGAGATTCTTTAGTCTCTTGGTACCAAGCCTCTAGATCCTGTTGTTTTACCATCCAGATTGAGATTCTTTAGTCTCTTGGTATCAAGCCTCCAGATCCTGTTGTTTTACCATCCAGATTGAGATTCTTTAATCTCTAGGTACCAAGCCTCTAGATCCTGTTGTTTTACCATCCAGATTGAGATTCTTTAATCTCTAGGTATCAAGCCTCCAGATCCTGTTGTTTTACCATCCAGATTGAGATTCTTTAGTCTCTTGGTATCAAGCCTCCAGATCCTGTTGTTTTATCATCCAGATTGAGATTCTTTAGTCTCTTGGTATCAACCCTCCGATCCTGTTGTTTTACCATCCAGATTGAGATTCTTTAATCTCTAGGTATCAAGCCTCCAGATCCTGTTGTTTTACCATCCAGATTGAGATTCTTTAATCTCTAGGTACCAAGCCTCTAGATCCTGTTGTTTTACCATCCAGATTGATTCTTTAATCTCTAGGTATCAAGCCTCCAGATCCTGTTGTTTTACCATCCAGATTGAGATTCTTTAGTCTCTTGGTATCAAGCCTCCAGATCCTGTTGTTTTATCATCCAGATTGAGATTCTTTAGTCTCTTGGTTTCAAGCCTCCAGATCCTGTTGTTTTATCATCCAGATTGAGATTCTTTAGTCTCTTGGTATCAAGCCCTCCAGATCCTGTTGTTTTACCAACCAGATTTGAGATTCTTTAGTCTCTTGGTATCAAGCTCCAGATCCTGTTGTTTTACCATCCAGATTGAGATTCTTTAGTCTCTTGGTATCAAGCCCGATCCTGTTGTTTTACACACCCAGATTGAGATTCTTTAGTCTCTTGGTACCAAGCCCTCTAGATCCTGTTGTTCTACCATCCAGATTGAAGATTGCTTTAGTCTCCTTGGTATCAACCCTACGATCCTGTTGTTTTTCCATCCAGATGAGATTCTTTAGTCTCTGGTATCAAGCCCTCCAGATCCTGTTGGTTTACCATTCCAGATTGAGATTCTTTAATCTCTAGGTATCAAGCCCTCCAGATCCTTTGTTTCTACATCAGATTGAGATTCTTTAGTCTCTTGGTATCAAGCCTCCAGATCCCTGTTGTTCGTATCATCCAGATTGAGATTTTAGTCTCTTGTATCAAGCATCAGATCCTATTGTTCTACAGATTGAGATTCTTTAGTTTCTTGGTATCAAGCTCCAGATCCTATTGTTCTACATCCAGATGAGATTCTTGTAGTCTCTTGGTATCACCCTCCCGATTCTTGTTTTTACATCCAGACTGAGATTCTTTAGTCTCTTTGGTATCAAGCCTCAGAGATTCTTGGACACCATCCAGATTTTTTTGAGAGGATTCTTGTAGTCTCTTGGTATCAAGCCTCCCAGATCCTGTTGTTGTAACATCCAGATTGAGATTCTTTAGTTCTCTTGGTATCAAGCCTCCAGATCCTATTGTTCTACCATCCAGAAGTCTCTTGGTATCAAGCCTCCAGATCCTGTTGTTTTATCATCCAGATTGAGATTCTTTAGTCTCTTGGTATCAAGCCTCCAGATCCTGTTGTTTTATCATCCAGATTGAGATTCTTTAGTCTCTTGGTATCAAGCCTCTAGATCCTGTTGTTTTATCATCCAGATTGAGATTCTTTAGTCTCTTGGTATCAAGCCTCCAGATCCTGTTGTTTTATCATCCAGATTGAGATTCTTTAGTCTCTTGGTATCAAGCCTCTAGATCCTGTTGTTTTACCATCCAGATTGAGATTCTTTAGTCTCTTGGTATCAAGCCTCCAGTTTCTGTTTTTCTACCATCCACAGATCTTCTGATCTTAGGGTGTCAGATTTTTCAGGCAGCAGCCCAGATGGGATAAAGGGCACGCACATAATCTTAAATAACTTAAAATTTATTGTCAACTGACCAGAGTAACATATTTCTTTCCTCGAGTATAAGACAACCCCTAAATTAAGAAATAAAATATTTAAACATACACTGCATATAAGATGACACCATATAAGCTGCAGTCTTACCATTAATTTTATTTATTGTCCATATTTCTTCAATCTGAAAACTGAGTGTCATGGCGGGAGCAGACCAGATCCTGAGCCTTGGTTGACAGCTGATCTAGTAGGGAAGCTCTGACAGGTGGACATACAGATCACTGCTCTTCTGTTCCGGCAGCTTCTGCAGCCTGCTTTATTCCATGTGTATTGTGTTACCTTTTCCTTGGAGTAAACAAGGCAGGCCAATGGAGGGATCACACTGTATGGACAATGCATGGTCATTGCCAGGTTTTATCTTATGGAAAGGAGGAACTTTATCACTGGCCTTTCTGTGTATAGGTTCCGGGGCCCCATTGTGGGGACAACAAGAATAGACCCACTGCCTCCTCAAAAAGCATGTCATTAGAGTTGACTAAGTCTGTACATCTGCCCAAGAGGCAAGGATGTTAAACCCCATGGGACTGAAAGAATCAATTTTTTTCCCCTGTGTGGGTTCTGAGGCCCTCATTGGGGGAGGGATTGGAAGAATAGACCCACTGCCCATTAACAAGAATGTTTTAAAAGTCAACTAATTAGGAGTTTTCCCTTCCATGTCGGTCATCTGCATACAAGGAACCAACAGTTGCCTACATATAAGCCAGATCTGTGAAACGGATGTGCACACAAAACTCAAATACTGGAACAAGACTAAAGTCCAGAAGTTGACAAGTAACCAGAACTTTCCACTAGAGTTTACAGATGGTGAACACTAAGAAGAAGAAGATTGCTCATTAATGTTCAGTTGTAATGATATATGCATTTTTTTACTTACCTGAGTCTGCCAGTTATCTGTCTTCTTTGCTGCTGACTGTAATAAAAATTCCCCTGCTGCTTTCTCCCCCACAGGTGTATTATTTAGGTGTAGTTTCGCAGATTAATATGACCAATTCTAAAAAGAGAGACACTGAGCCTTTACTTATTGACATTCTTGAGGAAAATCAGGTAAGTTTGTTTGATTGTGTGCGTTTTTTTTTTTTTCTGTCCATAGAATGAATCAATCAACTAAGAATTGATATCACTGCACTCGGGACATTCTTACACGTTTCCTCTTCTTTGCCTACAGGCAACAGGCTAATAGTTCAATTTAGGGTTCTTTCGTGAAATCCTACCCCAGATGATATCACAGGACAGTCCTCAACATTTTAGAGGGTGGTAAGACTGGGTTTCCCAAGCTTCTGATGCTTTAAACTACCCCAGAACATCTTAAACTGGGCCTAACCCCTCTACGTCCCAAGAGAAAGTACAGCCTCAATTCAACAGTCCACCTATCTTTTCTCCTATGTGTTTAAAAACATTGAAACTCTGCTGACTCCCCTGTGAATCAATCTCTTAGGGTATCTTCTTCTTTAGCATTCTGAGCTCTTGAGGTTCACTGCTGCAAATACCACCCGTCTCCATTCATCTCTCTGGTTGGCCTTCTATTTCCAGCAGGTGACACCAAGTGTTTGCAGGTCTGCCTGGACATTATCTCTCCATCTTCTTCTTGGTCTGCGACGTGGTCTATGACCATTCATCTCCCTTGTGTATACAGTTTTTTATTTCTCTGTCATCTGACATTCTTTCAATATGCCCTAACCATTTCTGTCTATTAGCTCTCATGATGCCAGTGATCAGTGGTGATTTAAACAGGGTATGAATTGGGAAATAGGAAAGAAAGAGACGGCTAAATATTACTTGACTAAAGAAAGTTGCACAAATAAAAACTTAATATTAGAAAATAGTTTTTGTTTCATGGTTTGATATATTATTTTTGCAGGGGGCTGCATGGTCTAAGGCATGGTGTCAGCCTCGAGTGCTGGAGGTTCCAGGTTTAATTCCTGGTAAAGGCTGAGATTTTTTTCACGTGGACTTGTACTTCTAGTAATTCCCCCTGGTCTCTGGTATAGTCAGACACCGATCGGCGCACACCCTTCTTCGGAAATTGAGTTAGTAAAAATTTTGAAAATCTACCCAAAGAACGCTACAGAGCCTGAGCACTCATGGGTTAGAAGAAGAACGGACATATTACTGCCATGATGTTGATCCATTGTTCAAACATTATTGCAGATTGATGGAAAACTACAACTGTCTGCTACAGAGGAGGACAAAGTGACCTTGTTTGTATCCAGATATGGAATTAAGGTCATGGATACAGGTGGCCAGGTACTTTTCAGTGTATCATCATCATCATCATCAGCGTAGACTGCATGTCATTGGGTCACCAGTTGATATTGACTGTCTGATAGGCTTCCTCCACTTCTTTTGGTCAGATGCAGTAGACTTCATGTCTGCATGCTTGAGCCTGTTCATTCAACCCCATTCTGTACCCAGGTCTTTCTTGGTCTGCCTTTTCTCATCTTCCCCTCTACGGACTTGTATTATTTTTGAGAGGTCGGTCACACTTTTTACATGTCTGTACCATTGTATTTTTGTATTTTTCATTGTTTAAATGTCTGTGATAGAAAACCTTGTTTCTCCCTTAGCACCCAGAGTGGTAAAAGAGGAAGTGAAGAAGAAGAACTAGAACTGTCTGTTTGTATTAGTTTGTTAATGTTTTTTCAGAGACAGTTATTTTAAATGGATCCACACAGAATTGTGAGAATGACCTCCAACAGACACGAAGACAATAAATTTTATTGGATTTTAAAGGGGACAAATACTTACATAGATTTAATGTTTTTTGTCAGTGAAAGTGTTTATAGATTTTTGCTTGCTAGCGTGGTTATCTTGACAGAAGTTTCACTGTCATCATGTATATCAGTAGTAGTTTTTGTTATTCTGAAAATTATTGTCACATTAAATAAAACTTGTTCTTTAAGTATAAAATACATGTTTAATCTATAGAGTGTATATATGTGTGTGTATGTCTCTCTGTCTCTTTTTTTTTTGTCTGCCTCCCGCCCCCCTTCCCCACCCCCACTCTCTTTTTTTAAAATTGCTGAAATGTCACTTCCCACAAGTTAAAAGTGTACACTAATTAGTGTCATTTTTGCTAAAGTCTAGTGTTGAATTCCAGATTGTTACTTTTCATTATCTTTTTTTTTTTTCCCAGCATTAAAAAAAAAAAACCAGTATCAAGGGTTGCCTAACAATAAAATGTTTGTTGTCTCAGGAGGTCCTGCAGCGTCATCCACTTCACACAATCGCACAACTTATCCAGTACAGTGATGGCTTTACTCATCAGAACATTGCCGTCAAAGTAGGCCAAGTTGGAAAGCATGTGTACCAGTGCTACGTCTTTCAGTGCCATAGTGAGGTAATGCCAGATTTCTGGAGTTTTAATGTGTAATATTTTTTTTTCTGTATTTGGTTTCAGATTTTTATATGTACTTACAGTTAAATTGTAAGTTATCTGTTCATTCCATTTAAAAAAAAAGCTATTATGATTTTTTTGGTTTCAATTGTAGGTTCTCTGTTTGTTCATGTTTTAAAGCTGTTATTTTAATTTCTTTTCGTGTAAGTTATGTATTTGTTAATTTTCCTAAAGCTATTTTTAATTTTCTTCTCCGAGAATTTGTTCAAATTTTTTTTTTTTTAATTTGCAGTCTTTGAGTCTAAGGTGGCAGACATATTGACAAATCACCCAGTGAATGCTGATTAATCTTTTAAAAATGGGATTAGCAGTTAATTCTTTGGGAAGTAAAAGTGACTGGTGTGATACTACCACAACACCCACCACATGCTGATTGCTCTATACAAAATATGAGTCATACATCATATGCCTTTTGCACTGCTGGTATGAAAGGGTATTTTACTTACTTTTTGCCATACAACCAGTGCACCTTGGCACATGAAAAGGATTATTTTACTGTTGTTTCAATACTTTTCGTTGTATTTCATTTTCATAGGATCAAGCCCAAGCAATCTGCAACTGTGTGCGAAGAATTTTTGATGCCATCACAGCTAAATGAATTGAGAACAGAGGAGGGCAGTTGTACAGACTAATCTAAGAGGTTTTTGACAATGAGGTTATCAGTGTCCAGCACAGTAAATGCCGGGAAGACTAATATGGCAAAGGGTAATTTGCGCATTCTTGTTGAGGCTGATGGACATAAGGGTGCCACGTAAAGCTGCAAGAAAGGAACAATTCAGCAAGGGGGCAAAATGTTTGATTCATCAACACAGGTGTCATCGGTCGTTTTATGCTTGTGAGGCTTCTGGAAAGGAGACCAAAGCACCTATGGATCTGTCCGGAGTGCTATGATGATAACCCTCACTAATTACCAAGTGGTTGTGTATGTATATAAATATCTATATATATAAGCTTTATTATTATTGTTTTTTTAATTCCTTTCTGGAATTGCAGCTTGAAGGTTGCCATTGACTCCTGGAGTCATTGTTCGAATTCCAGTCCAACAGGTGCAAATTCCAGCAAGATTTGAACATTATGGATCAGTTCTTTTTGTTCACTTCCTCTTTTACTGCTTCAGGTATCGAGGGAGGTATGAGACTCTGCTTCCATCTGTTGTATTTTTTGGAGTGGAGTTAAATGGGAAAAAATAATAGGTTTAAAATAAATATATGCACTGCCAGTAGTCATAGTGTTAGGTTATCGGCAAGGTCACAGTATAGGTTATGTATAGTACATTTGATTTAGGCCGAGGGGAATGTAATATGTTTTTTCTTCTCTTCATTTGTATATTGATTATTATTTATCCGAGGGGGAAAAATCATATTCAGATATGTACAAAAATACATTGTAAAAACATATTTAGTGACCTATGTAAAATGTTTGTTTTTTAAAATAATGTTTTCCCCAGGAATTATGAGTTTCTGGGCTTTTCCCCACAAAGAGTGTCTCAAGTGAAATGGATAAGGGATATTATAAACCAGTAGGTTTTTAAAAAATGGAGCCCAATACAACATAACTTTTAATGCCGAATGTTGTGCAGCCTATACCAAACCTTATTGTATTGATGTTGCCTTTCCTTTGGAGTGAACAAGGCAGGCTGAAAGAGGATTCATAATGTATCAGCAACACGTGGTCTCTACAATACGCAGGCATCATGCCCGCTTCTTAACGCAAATGGCTGCCCTAACATCGTCTTTGTGCGAGCTCATGCGGGCTTTCAAGGGAATGAGTGTGCAGATTATCTTGCAGACACTGCGGTTGCTATGGCAGGTCCAGTACTGAATAGAGGCAGTTGATCAGTGTCATGTGCAGCATTTACCATGATGACGAGCACCCCAGTAGGCATGACTCAGTATTCCTGTCTAGACTGATGAACATGGGGGTGCAGCCTGGAGCTGCAAGAAATTATAATTTCACTAAGGGGACATTAATCAACGCAGAACAGGCGTCGTTTTACAGTTTTGGAGCTTTTGAGGGAATCAGAGCACCTATGGATTTATCCTGTGTGCTGTGGTCATAATCAGTATTAATCACTAAGTCACTTGCCAGAACTTCTCTGCTACTTCATTCTCCCTTTCCCCTTTTCTAGTCTCATTAGTATTCTTAGGTTTCACAATATTCTTTGCTCTCTCCCCCCCCCCCCCCCCCACCCCCCCTCCCTTCTCTCTCTCTCTCTCTCTCTCTCTCATTTCTCATGCAATTACCATTGTACATGTAGAATTTCATTTTAATGCTACTGGTTTACAGTGGTACCAGAAAGCATGCAGTTTTATTTAAATTTTCTAATTTTTATTTCAAAAATATAGTTCAAAGCATGATGTGTCATTCATTGATCGTTGAGTCATCTATTGCAGATACTGGGAAATATAGACTGGGCCTATAACACTAATATACCTTGATGGTATAGGAATATGATCCTTTCCCTTCAGATATATGTGTGTGTGCACGTGCGCACACCCTTCTTCTTCTTCTCTGCATGTGTATGATCTCCCCACTGCCTTCTTGATCTGCCCCTTGGCCTACTTTTGTCTCTTTGTCATCTGCCATTCTATTCTCTCTGTATGCCCCAGCCATCATTTTCTGTTAGCCTTCATGTTGTAAGTAATTAGTGGTGATTTAAACAGGTAATGAATTTCATATTTTCTTCTCACTCTCTATGCTCCACTTTTACAACTTCGGTTCTTGCAGAATGTTTTAATGACACTGGTCTCAATAGTTTGTACTAAGGCTTCATCTATTTGAATGCTTGTGACAGAATAATAATTATGGAAACTCCGTGGCTGACTTTTGTGATTGCTAAAATACATTAAAACTAGTGTGGGTGTTTTGCTGAATAATTTGTACAACTTCATTATCAGTCTTGGTCTTAGTCGAGGTTTCAGCTTTGCTGCAGTCGGATCACCCCTTTACTTGCTCCGTTTCTGTGCCAGTGAAAATCAGATTTGTCCCTTACTGTCCCATCTGAAAAACTGGTGAACAAACAATTAGTCCCGGCACAATCCAGAATTATATGCACGTAATAAATGCATATGGCAGTTGCTAGAGGTGCCGAAGCCAACAGTTGCCACCAGAAATGCAGTTTGTCATTGATGCACGTAGTCGGGCATGATAAGTTGGCTATACACACAGAGAATTATTATGTAAGGTATTTCACCAGCTCACACATAAACCAGCTGTTAGCCATATTGAATACCAACACTCAGCCGCTGCACAAATGAAAGGCATTCCACATGAAAGCACAGCTCACATGGCTGCACCAAGCACTAAACTCAGGCAGCGAAGCGTAGACTACCATCCCTATGTGGAAACTGCATTAGCAAAGTGCTGTCGGAAACAAATAACTTTAAGCTTAACGTTCTGCCATGCCGGGATCTCCATTTTAGACGAGAGGTCCACCTTCTTTATTAAGGAAGAGGTAGGACAGCGTGATGGTTGTTGAATTTAGTCACCCAGTCGTACGTTAATTATTGTGCTGATTGTACAAAACAAGCTTGGCGTACTCTGCAGCTCATCTGTGGAACCAACTTCCACAACCAATCAAAAATATCAACAACCCCTACAAATACAATTGGAAGCTTTTTGAATATTATCTCACTTCAGACTACATGCCCCCTTAGAAGTTAAAGTTTCCTAAGAACAATGTTGATTTCCACCAAGATTTATTATATTTAGTATTATAATTGTTTTAAAATGTAGGCATACTTAGAGTACATTGTTACAAAGATGTTATTGATGATGCTAGTTATTATTATTATTACTATCTTCTAAAACAATGTGTGCATAAATAATCTATGCATGGTGTGAGGCCAGAAGGGCAGAATGTAAGACGGGCCTGTGTGCCCAATTCTTAACCCTTGGAAAATAAAGTTTGTTCGTTCGTATGATTGTATATTTGTAAATATTGGTGTCTTTGATTATTATGTTAATAAAATATTGTTTTACTAAGCTGGATTCATGTTGTTACTATGTGTAACATTAGGTGTTTAATCATTCATTATATGTTGTTACTGTATATAACAGAAGGTATTTAGTAATTCATTCTGTGTTGCTGCCACACACACACACACACACACACACACGCACACATATATATATATATATATATATATATCTTTTTCTTTTTCACATTTTCCGGGGTAGGTTTTGTTTGTTTATCCACTTCAGTACTTTAGTCTCAGAACGTGACGGCACAGGCCTAGTTTATTTAAAGGCAGACTATTGGTTCCTTGCCTCTATGGCAGATACACTGTAACTTCAATGGAAACATCATTAATTAGTCGCCTTTTATGACATGCTTGTTGGAGAAAGGAGGAGGGGATGGGTCTATTCTTTCCCCTCCTCTCTAAAATGGAGCCCGGGAACTATATGCAGTTATAATGTAGATAATAAAGTGCGGCCTTGTCAGGTGGAGAATACCATGTGGTACCAGACGTTACCAAGCTTTGGATTAGCTGTGCATCCTTTACAAGGTGTCATAAGCCATCCTTAGTGAATGTCGATGATTGTGGTTGTACTAATTGGAAAATATTGTGACCACTGCAAAAATATATGGGGAAAGAGATAGCGGAAGACAACGCGAGACGATTCTTGGCAGCTTTGTGTTATAGTCACCTGGGTGTCGGCACACAAACGGAAACACGCAGACCGCAGAGGCATGATCGTCCACGCCAGTAGGCAAGGCACTTGATGATGATGAGTATGCCAGTACTTTTCTGCTTTAGGGGGCCTACAATCAAACTGTTATTGAAATTAAAAACGGTCTACTGCAAAACCGCCTGCTGGTGTCGCGAAATTTATGAATTTATAAACGTTGTCTTTTTAGATGTGGCAGATCTGAACCACCGTTCAATGACAATATTATCGAAGTTTTATATATATATTATACATTTTCATCCCCTAAAGCCAAAGTGCCTGATAAATATCTATCGTGTCCTTCTGCCAACTGCCAAAGTCTAACATCTGTCCGATGAACCAATCGTAAGCTTGTCACTCTGGCTAATTTGCTACCGCGGCAAAAATATGTTACACTAAATCTCACGACACCTGTTGCAAAGTCCCTATTTCGTTTTGTCCCTGTCAGAATGTCCGATAAAGTGTAGCAGGGGAAGATCGAGACCTGGCATCATGAACCAGGTCGGCACACCTTCCGAGATTGTATATGAAGTAATGGGCCGAAACAATCGTCGACGAGTGATCTTTCAACATGATCGGTGGATCGGTTTATTCAGGGGCCAAAATGTTGAAAATGGAGATAGACACGGACCAAGAGACCTCACCATAGAAAGATCATTAATACAATACAGTTGTCAATTATCCACGGGCCACTTGCTAGGCCACCGGGGGCCGTTAGTTAAATAGCCGTATTAATCTTCTTCTTCGCGTTCAACGGCTGTAAACTCTAGCGAAAAGTTTTGGTTGTTTGTCCACTACTGGACTCCAGCCCCGTTCCAGAATCAGAGCGTTGCGTGCACATCTGTTTTACATGTCTGACTTATTTGTATGCAGACTATTGCGTCCTTGCCTTTCAGGCAGATGCACTCAGACTTCGAAGGTAGCTCC